TAATCAACTTTGTTGCTCTTCTCTGTACTCTTTCTAGAGTCTCAGCATCTTTTTTTACATCGTGGTGACCAAAACTGGATGCAGTATTCCAAGTGTGGTCTTACCAAGGCATTGTAAAGTGGTATTAATATTTCACATGATCTTGATTCTATCCCTCTGTTAATGCAGCCAGCACTGTGTTGGCTTTTTGACAGCTGCAGCACACTGCTGGCTCATATTTAAGTGATTGTCCACTAGGACTCCAAGATCCCTCTCACAGTTACTACTATTGAGCAAGGTACCCCCTATACTATACCTGTACATTTGGTTTTTCTTGCCTAAATGTAGAACCTTACTTTTTTCACCATTGAATTTCATTTTGTTAGATAGTGCCCAGTGTTCAAGTCTGTCCAGATCCTCCTGTATCTTAAGCCTGTCTTCTGGAGTGTTGGCTATTCCTGCCAGCNTTCTGGACCAGACTGGATAAATTGTATTTCAGATTGGATCCCTTTGAGGAGGAGGAGGAGGAGGAGGAGGAGGAGGAGGAGGAGGAGAAGGAGGAGAAGGAGGAGAAGGAGAAGGAGAAGAAGGAGAAGAAGAAGAAGAAGAAGAAGAAGAAGAAGAAGAAGAAGAAGAAGAAGAAGAAGAAGAAGAAGAAGAAGAAGAAGAAGAAGAAGAAGAAGAAGAAGAAGAAGAAGAAGAAGAAATTGTTTAAACATTCAAATTCTGACATACTTTATTTCTAATATGTTTTTTTCTCTCTTTTTTGTCACCTAGATTTAATACTATCTAATAATTTAGTTATTTCACTCGTTCTGTATTGAGCAGTTCTCATAGTCAGCAAAGGAAAATATGATGTCCTTCAGCACAACATGGCATCAGAATGGACAAAAGCTGAGTTTGTGATTTAGGAATATACCTAACTGAATATTCTGTTTTATTTGATATATGTATTCTTGGTTTTTTTTTCCTCTTTGTTTTTAGTTCCTTTGAAGGTTTGACTGCCTGGATCATTATAGTTGTACAGAATAAATCCTTCTGTCTATGTTGCCTTATCTCCCAACAAAGCCACCAGTAGAAGATACAACCAGGAAGACATGATTGTAATGAGCTAAGGAAAAGACAGGATGTTGTCAAACTGCCCAGCCAATTTTTTATTTATAAATATCTGGGGGAGGAAAACTAGTCTTTTTATTTGCATATAGATGATTTAGGATAGTACATAAGAAACTAAAACCCTATGCTTTCCTCTTAATGCATTTGCAACATGTACGAGCTCCCAGTCACAGTGAATAAATAGCACACCAAGGATTTAAATATTTTTATCTTGCCTTTCACGTCACTTGCTATATTATTACAGCAAAGCAGCCGGTCTCCTCCTGAGGATTTATGAATGGCTATGAATGTGGTTTTCTCCACTGTGTGCCTTGCACAATAATACACAGCTGTATCATCAGTGTTCAGGTTTGTCAGCTGCATAAATGTGGTGCTGATGGAAGTGTCCACGGTGATGGTGACTCGAGCTTTCAAAGCTTCAGCATAGAATGTATTAAAGTTGTCTGTCCTAATAGTACCCACCCAGTTCAGTCCTTTTCCTGGTGCCTGTTTGATCCAGCTCAAACTATAGTCAGTGAAGGTATATCCAGATGCCTTACAGGTCAGTCGTATTGATTCTCCAGGCCTTTTTATTTCTGGACCAGACTGAAGAAACTGTATTTCAGATTGGATCCCTGTGAAGAAGAAAAGGAGAAGGAGAAAAAGAAAAGGAAGAAGAAGAAAAGGAAGAAGAAGAAGAAGAAGAAGAAGAAGAAGAAGAAGAAGAAGAAGAAGAAGAAGAAGAAGAAGAAGAAGAAGAAGAAGAAGAAGAAGAAGAAGAAGAAGAAGAAGAAGAAGAAGAAGAAGTTGTTTAAACATTCAAATTCTGATATCCTTTATTTTCTAATATATTTTCTCTCTTTTTTGTCATCTAGATTTAATACAATCTAATAATTTAGCTAGTTCTCCAGTTCTCTATTTAGCAGTTATCCTCCCCAGCAAAGGAAACTATGATTTCCTTCAGCACAACATGGCATCAGAATGGACAAAAGCTGAGTTTGTGATTCAGAAATATACCTAACTGAATGTTCTCTGTTTTATTTGATATCTAGATTCTTGTTTTTTCCCCCTTTGGTTTTAGTTCCTTTGAAGGGTTGACTGCCTGGATCATTATAGAAATCCTTCTTTCTATGTTGCCTTACCTCTCAACGAAGCCGCCAGCAGGAGGAGATACAGCCAGGAAGACATTATTGCAGTGCGCTAAGAAACAAACTAATAAAATGTTGTCACTCTGCCAAGTCAATTTTTTATTTATAGATATCTGGGGGAGGAAATCTAGTCTTTTCATTTGCATATGGGTGGTATAGGATAGTACTTAAGAAATATTGTTTTCCTCCTAATACAATTGCAATAGTGTATGACTATGCAGTGAAAGCCAGTAAACAACACACCAAACATCTGGATATTGCCTTCAACTCTACCTGTTTTATTATTGCAATTCATTGCATAGACACCCAGATGTTTAGACTTGACTCGGCATGTTTGTCCAGCTGTCAAGTCCTTCCCAAAGACCTGGGAATAAGCAAATGTTGTTTCATTGTGTTAAAGGTATTGTTGCCGGATATAAGCTGTTCCAAGTAAAGCTGTTGTCATGGTTCCAACAGATAGGGATGAATAAAGCAGAACTCTGAGGCTTGCAAATTCCTCAAAGAACATGTTTATTAGTGACAAAGTATCGGCACAGTCAAGAGTGAAACTAAGTCTGGAGATACAAGTAACAATTTCCCAATACAAAGTTAAAAATCACACCCATAAAACTATGCAAGCAACTACATTCCCCAATATGATTATTTGGCAGGCTTTTTATGCAACACCTAGCCTCTAGTCTTGGGAGTAGCCAAGGACCTTGGTTCCCATAGGACAGAATATTATTATGACTAGATGTTGAGAGTTTGGGAAAAATTCAGAGAAGAGCAACTAAGATTATCAAAGGCCTGGAGACTAAAATATACAAAGAACGGCTGTGGGTCTTGGGCTTGGCTAGTCTAAAGAAAAGAAGAAATATGGGAGACATGATAAACAGTATTCCAGTATTTGAGGGGCTGCCACAAAGAAGAGGGGGTTAAATTATTCTCCGAAGTACCAGAGGGCAGGACATGAAACAATGGTTGGAAACAGATCAAAGAGAGAAGCAACCTGGAATTAAGGAGAAACTTCTTAACAGTGAGTACAATCAACCAGTGGAACAGCTTGCCTTCAGAAATTGTGGATGCTCCATCACTGGAGATTTTTAAGAAGAGACTAGACAATCACCTGTCTGAGATGGTATAGGGTTTCCTGCCTGAGCAGTGTGTTGGACTAGAACAGAGGCCCCCAACCTTTTGGGCACCAGGGACCAGTTGTCGTGGAGAGAGGTTTTTCCACAGACCAGAGAATGTGTGGTTTTGTGTGCTGCCTGCATCCCATGGATGGGGCTTTGCTTGTTTGTGCAGACTGGTTGCTGACATGCTGCGGCCCGGTACTGGTCCACAGACTGGGGGTTGGGGATCCCTGGGATAGAACATCTCCAGGGTCCCTTCCAACTCTGTTATTCTATTCTATTCTATTCTATTCTATTCTATTCTATTCTATTCTATTCTATTCTATTCTATTCTATTCTATTCTATTCTATTCTATGCCAACCTGATAATGAAAGATCCAAAAAGATCCTGGTTGAAAAGAAGCTCTTTCCACCTCAGCAGGAAGGAAAGCTCTAACAGCAGAAAAAGAAAAGATCATAGCTCAAGATAGAGAATGTACATAGGGCTCCCTTTTCAAAAAAACCTGTTAGGTGAGTTGGGCTAAGAGACAAAATTACTCTTTCAGCCACTATTCATATACAAACCCAGTGTCTTCTCACTATAATCATGTCCTTGCTAAAACAATAGAACATAATCATCTGTTACAGATCCAAAATGATATATCTAAAGCTGTGCTGTTGTGATTCTGTTTTCATTGAAGTGAATCCAAATGAAACATTCCCTTTACCACATAAACTGTAAGTTTCAGAACAAGCTCAGATTCATTTTCTCCTCTGTGATTCCTTGTACAGTAATACTTGGCTGTGTCTTCAGCTTTCAGTCCATTCATGTCTAGATAAACCAGGCTCTGGAACTATCTTTTGAGATTGTGAATCGACCTTTAAAAGAATTGGCATACAATGTGGTGCCTGTCTTTATTCGTGAGATCCACTCCAGCCCTTTTCCATCTTTCTGGCGGACCCATTCCATCCAGTAATTATCAATATTGAACCCAGAGCATGTGCAAGTGAGTCGAAGAGAGTCTCCAGGTCTTTTAACTCCTCCACCTGATTCAGTTACTGAAGCATCTGCCAGAACATCTGAGAAGGAAGACACACAAAGATTTTTGATGGATTTGTTGAGAAGTTCAACTCACAATATTTCGGAACCAAAAGAAGAGTTCCTTTAAAATTGAGACAATAAAGATGACATGCATGCAAATAATCGTTTTGAAGATTAAAAAAAAATAGGGTGATTGGTTGGGGTGCCTTTCAGTTTTCAGTTCTTTTGGATGATTATAGTTCTGCAAAAGATATATTTCTTTCTATGTTGCCTTACCCCGCAATGAACCTGCCAGTAGGAGAAAATACAGCCAGGAAACCATGATTCTGATCAGCTAAAAGAAAATAACCATCTACCAACTCAACTTTTTATTTAATGACTTCTGCAAAGGAAATCTAGACTTTCAATTTGCATATGGATGGTATAATAGCTTTGAAAACCGAGAATCAAATTGAGTAGACCGTCAGTATCAATGGCTATATGAATCTTACCAGGTTTCTAAATTCAAAAGTAAGCATATATTTATGTTTAGCAACTTTATTGAAACATACTTTAAGTGTTAGTTCCTAGTTAGATTTATCTACTTTCTTCTAGGAGCTTATGATGGCATGAACACAGTTCTTCGTCCAGTTTTAATTCGACATAATGGCATTTCTGTATGGTAGATTAGGTTGAGAGATATTGTTTACTACAAAGTGGGGATGGACTTGTATCTTGAAGAAGAAGAAGAAGAAGGAAGGAGAGAGATTGTTTCCATCCTTACTTTAATAGCCACCACTGGCAACACAAACAAGCATTTTATCAAATTTAGTTTCCACTTCTCAGTCACTCTTGGTGATTAGAGTTGAACAGCTGTTCTTTCTTATTTCGGTTTTGGATCAATGGATTTATAAAATAGTGTAGGAATTGGAAAGAGTATTGTGTCCATTTCTAACACCATCTTGAACATTCTGAATACAAGGAATGGTATATTGCATGAAATATATATTAAAAAGTCCCATTAATTTTAAATGACAAGTTTAAATCACTTTATAGCTCAACTGGTGAAGAAAACAATTTATCTCAGTGATTATATTGTGACAACAGCAGATTCTAGCTGGTCTAATAAGTGAGCACTCTGGGAACTCTTTAGATCTGGTGGCATCTAGTTAACATCCAGTAATATTGAGTATTTCAGTTGGTGTTTATGCCCATTGCTGTTTAGAACAACCTAGGCTAGGTAAAATAGATCAGAGTGACATTTGAAAACACAACAGTTTGTGTGCTGTTCAATTTCACTGTGGGCGCTACAGTAATAGAGACCGCTGTCTCCAACTTTCAGCTGCCTTATCTCTAAAGAAGCAATATCCCGTGAATTATCCCTAGAGATGGCAAATCGATCTCTCAAAGACTGACGTACGCTTGATCTACTGCCATCCAGGTTGCTTTCTCCTATCCATTTAATTCCTTCGTCGCCGATCTTGTATGTCCACTGAATCCAGTTTTGAAGAAAAGAGGAGACACCTTTGCAGGTTAAAGTTAAAGTTTCTCCAGGAAGTTTAATTTCTGAGGTGGGCTGGGTCAGAATTTTCTGGAGCTCCACAGCTGCAAATCAGAAAGTGGGGACAAGATTACAAAGTCAGATTAGCATCGCCCCAATTCCTTTAGTAAATTCCATTTTACAGCCATTTTATTCAATTGTATGTAGCTGCTCTCATGCCAAGTGGAGCAGAATGACTGCAAAATTATACAAGATGAAGGCATCACTTTGTCCACATCTGAATCCAGATGTTCCAAATTTCAGAAACTACTGCTTGCCCATAAGACATTAAAGCTTCAAAAGTAATGTCCAGCATCCTAGTTTATTAACAATTCATAACTTTGGAACCACCATATAATAGAATGATACATTGGCAAAGTAATACATTCATAGGATTGTTGATATGAGAGACGACAGAAGAGAAACTACTAATTGTTGGATCCAAACTATGAAATGGAAAGAGTGAGGAAAGAAAATAATTTTTGACATGCCAACATCATTCAAAATGTCAACAATATATTAAACCTATTAATAAATTATTAACTATGGTAGACTCATTCAAAAGCCTCTGGAAAGGGTGCAGAAAAAAGCAACAAAAAGATGATTAGGAGGTTGGAGGCTAAAATATATGAAGAACATTTGCATGAATAGGGTATGTCTAGTCTAGAGAAAAGAAGGACTAGAGGTAGACTGATAGCAGTCTTCCAATATTTGAGAAGTTGCCACAAAGAAGAGGAGGTCAACCTATCTTCCAAAGGACCAGAAGGCAAGAAAAGAAACAATGGATGGAAACTAATCAAGGAGAAAAGCAACCTAAAACTAAGGAAAAATTTCCTAACAGTGAGAACAATCAACCAATGGAATGGCTTGCCTTCAGAAGTTGGGGATGCCCCATCACTGGAGGCTTTTAAGAAGAGACTGGACAGCCACTTGTCTGGAATGGTATAGGGCCTCCTACTTGAGCAGGGGTTGGGCTAGAAGACCTCCCAGGTCCCTTCCAACTTGTTATTCTATTAAAATAGTCGATCATATCCCCATCATTACAGATGATGGACTGTAGATAGGCATTATTAGTTAATTGAAGAAATATAAGATAAGATTTTCCTTAGTCCAGTGGGGACATATGGAAAAATATAACCCTTTCCTCCTTTTCTGGAAAATATATTTCACTTACCAAAGAAGCTGTTCACCAGTATAAAAACTGTTATTAAAATGTTCATGATATTGTATCTATGAGCCAAAAAATAATTCACAATGTTCTTGGAACAGAGAACATTCCAAAAAGTGCTCAAGAAAAGATACACAAGTCTCATATAAGATTGATGAAAGTAAGAAGGATTTGCATAGGGTGGCCTATAATAGGGCACAGTTTACCTGACTCATGTTCAGCTGTTGAAACCTCAAATTCCACTGAGCATTAAAGAATAGTCACTGCTTAAATGTGCAGACTGGCAAATAAGTCAATGCTGATTTATTTCAATTTTAATTATCTTTTTAGTCTCAAATTCTGCTTACCCCATTCCCACAGGAGTTTGATTTTCATTTTTTTCTGAAAAAGAGGTCTTTTTGCAAATGTTAAAGAGGGAGGGAGGGAAGGAGAGAGAAAGAGAGAGAGAGATTAAGACAGAGATTATTGGTGTTTTCCAAAAGAATGCATTTTTTACATGCAATTAATCTTATGCAGTGATTATTGAGCATTATTTCCATGCCTGGAATAATAATAATAATAATAATAATAATAATAATAATAATAATAATAATAATAATAATAATAATAATAATAATAATAATAATAATAATAATAATAATAATAATAATAATAATAATAATAATAAAGTTGGAAGGGACCTTGGAGGTCATCTAGTCCAATGCCCTGCTCAGGCAGGAAACCCTATACCATTTCAGACAAATGGCTGTCCAGTCTCTTCTTATAAACTTCCAGTGATGGAGCATTCACCGCTTCTAGAGGCAGGTTGTTCCACTGGTTAATTGTTCTAACTGTCAGAAAGTTTCTCCTTAGTTCTAGGTTGCTTCTCTTCTTGATTGGTTTCCATCCGTTGCATCTTGTCCTGCCTTCAGGCGCCTTGGAGAATAGCTTGACATATGTATTTTTTTCTCATTGGGTTTATTTTAAACTAGAAATAAGGAGAAATCTTCTGACAGTGAGATCATTCAACCAATGAAACAGTTTGTTGTGGGTGCTTCATCACTGAAGGTTTTGGACAGCCATCTGTCAGAAATGGTATAGGGTCTCCTGTTTAAGTAGGGGGTTAGATTAGATGACCTATAAGGTCCCTTTCAACTCTGTTATTCTATTCTTTTTTTTTTCAATATAAAATTTTATTATTTTCATCATAAGAAAAACATCACAAATATTTCACAATGCTATATGGAAAAAAAACCCCACCCCCCGCCCACCCACCCCGGACTTCCCAAACCTAATCCCAGGGTAATATTCAGATATAAGCAAACAAATATTAAAATCTCTAACTCCACAAAGTATATTATTCTACATGAGTAGGTAAAATATATTAAAAAAAAAGAAAAACAAGTTTACTAAAAGCCTAAATTATATTCCACCACTCTATGCTTCTTTTGAATATAGACGATCCATCTTCTCCATATTAATAAAAATTGTTCATTTGAGTAATTCTTCAAATAAGCCGAAATCTTTGCCATTTCAGCAAGGTACGAAACTTTCAATCTCCAGTCCTCCATTGTAGGTAAAATTTTACTCTTCCAATTTTGAGCTATCAACAAACGGGCAGCAGTTAAACAATACAACATCAAGTTTGTTTCTTTTACATCCAAA